CTCCTGGGCCCCCGTTAGTCAGGGCCTTGAACTTTGACGCTCTGGCCCTTAAAACTGGGGAAGTGAATTTCTACCGTGTATGAATTACCCGTCCGGGATACTTTTTTCTAGCAGCACAAGCAGGAGAAGACAGCAGATGGTCCTGAGAACTTGACTCAACTGTTTTGAGTCTCAGCTTCCTCATCTGACAAGTAAGAAAAATGACTATCGCTGCCCCATCTATGCACCTCAGATTAGCCATGACATGCAAATGAATGAAATATTTGGCAAATCTTAGCCAAAGCAGAGTCCTAAAGGAAAGAAATCTGAGGACACACGACTAATGCAGACCACTCCGTTTACTGATAATGAGACTGAGATCCTAAGAGCTTTCTTTTTTATCCAAATTTACCACGACCTCATGCTTGCCTGGCTGGCACTTAAGCCACTGAGCTAAATGGCCGGCCTTTCTTGTCCCATTCTTGCAGGAGCCTTCCCTTGGAATCTAACCTGTAAATAGGAATCTTATTTGTGCATTTTTTCCCAGAAGTTACTATTTATTGTTGAGTATGTGAGAATACCCCCCCAAAAATTATTTTCTTTTTGCCTAAAAGATACACATAAATGGGATTTTTTCCAAGTTTTCTTTCAGATTTAAGCAGACTCGTAAAGCAATAATTTTAGATGGGACAGTTTCCAAGTCTTTCACAATTTGTAAGATAGAAGTGAGTGACTCCATACAGGATGTCGTATTGTGCATAGGTAAAGTAGTGTCTGAGAAAGCGTCATTACTCATCCATAAGGCCTCCATGCCTCAAATCTAGAGGATTCATTTCAAGCATTAAAACTAGAATACCGCACCTCTATCCCAGAACTGTGTGAGGCTGGGGCGGAGAATCCCAAGTTTGAGCCCAGCCGTTGAGCCTGCTAACTTAGCAGCTTAGCAAGTTGCCTGTCTCAAAAATAAAATTAACAGGTCTGCAATAGGCCTGAATTTAATCCCCAGTACCAGGAAAAAAAAATGCTTAGACACCCTGAAGTCATAAAAACAGTAAACATGTTCAGAGAGATGATAGAATAATGGTAGCACATTGGAAAGAATCTTCAAACAGAAGAAAGGTAAGTTGAGGCCCAGTTTTCAACCTAGCAAATACTGTGACGTTCAGGTAACTGCTCCCAGCTATTCCACTATATGTGGTTGTGTGTCCTGTATGCAGGTGTGTGTGTGTGTGTGTGTGTTTGTGTGTGTGTGTGTATGTGTGTGTGTACTGTGAACCTAAAAGGCAAGTTAAGGCATACCAAATATGACAAGAGTTTATTAGAGGCAAAATTTAGATAGCCACCCAGCAAATAAACATAACTTCAGCTGTCCAAAATAATGCAGTCCAGCATGCCTTCTGAGGGATATGAGTTTCTAAATATTAAAAAAAAAATAAGGTTATAGTCATTGCATTGGCTGACAGGGAAAGCACAGGACAGTGACTGGTGGTTGGTCACTCAGAAGTCTGAGCTCATCCTGAGCTGCCTAGCAAGTTCAAGACCAAGCCGGACTATTTAATGAACACTGTCTTAGCAAATGGTACTTTGTTGTGGACGCCCATTCCAAAATATTCTATTCATAAACAAGCAAAAAGTAAATATATTATTTTGCTTCTTTCTTATCACTGTAATGATTCTAAAACTTGCCATTTTCTGACAGAATACCCTGAATAAATATGGTTTTTTATATAAATAGTTGCTTGGTATTTTTGCAACATACAAATGTCCCACAATTCATTTCCCAAACTTCTATTGCTAAATATTTAGTTTCTGAACTTTCATGATTACAAATAATGCTATCATGAATAACTTTGCCATAAAAATACATGCCATTTGCGTAGTTGAGAGCTAGTTGTTGGCCAAATTCCTAGAAATGCATTGCTGGGCGACAGTATGATCATATGTATAATTTTGCTAGATGGTGCCAAGGTGCCCTTTCTAGTCACAGTGCCAGTTTACACTCTGTGCAGGATGTGGAATAGTGTTTATTTTCCCCTCACTTTCACTCCCACAGTAGGTTAGCAAACTTTTGAAATCTGTATACTGACATATAAAATGATACCTGTTGTTATGAAGTGTATCTAGATGACCCCCGAAGCCTCACACATTCATTCATGGGCAAAGCATTTTGGAGCTGGATGGATCCAGGTTGTGTGATGTTGTCATTCAAGAGTATGTGGTGCTTTGTCCACTGATCAGCTTAGCACAGTTCAGGATGTGGATAATGGGAAGGCCCACGCTGGGTGTGGGTGACATCATCCAAAGATTATTGCCTGGAGGGGATGAAAGAGAAAGGGAGGCTTGTTGCCGCTGCTTCGCTGTTTGCTATACCCTCTGCCAAGGACTGTTTCTCCTCTGAGATGCCCCTCTGCCGTGCCACCCTACCTTGGAACCAGCCAACTGTGGGCTGAAATCTTGACAAATTGTGAGACAAAATATAACCTTTATCTTTTAACTTACGTGACTTATTTTGTCTTAGCAATGAGAAAAGCAGCCAAGACATTTGTTTATAGTTTTTTTCACTTTCTGTCTGTGAAATTGAATGGCTTTTCATGCTCACCAAAAAGCCTTTTGTGTCTTCTTTTTCTAGTTGATGTCTTTTTTGGTTGTTGTTGGGTGATCCTTTTCTTATTGTTTTGTAGCAACATTTTATGTAACAAGAAAATAAAAACTTAATGATAAGAACTGTGCACATTTTTCCCTCAGTTGTTTCAATTTTTATTTCCTTATGTGGATTGTTGTCATAATGAATTTTTTTTATTTTTATATGGCTCAATTTATTGAACTTTTCTAACACTTCTGAGTTTTCTTTCACTCTTAGAAATTTCTTCTCCATCCCAATGAAAATATCGCCATGCTTTTTTTATCTACTTCTCTTTAATCCTTATATTTAAGTCTTTGATCCATCTGAAACTGATTTTTGATGTAAGTATAACATATAGATTTAACTTAATTCTAGAGACTCATGAAAATTGCTTCAATATATTAGCTAAATAACCCATTTGAAAGAAATCTTTATGGGATATTGAAACAATAGTAAATGTCAAGTACTATGCCATGTAATCACTTTTTGGACTTTATACTGCATAGCATTGACTCACCTGGAATAGGTTAGTCCTGCACTGTGTAAACTGCTATTCCTTCACATTTTAATACCATATTGTTTCTCACCTCTTAATTTTCAAAATTTTTCCAGTTTTTTCTGCTCATTTATTTTTCACATTAACTTGCTTCTTAATTAGTCTCAAAAATTTGTTTTATAGGATTTTTATTGAGCTTGCATTTAATAGTAAGACAAATGAAATGGTTGATATTGAACCTCTCTACTCAAGAGCAGAACCTACCTTTCCATTTATCTACATTTGCTTTCTTTAGAACTTGTATATCTTTTGAATTCAGTCTACCTTTCCAGTTATGGTATAAGCAGGGTCTTCCATCACATCTTTTAGTTGGCTGCTGTTTTTATTTTTTAAAGACTATTTACTTATGTCTATTTTTTACCACACCAAATTAGTTTCCATATTGTTGGACATAATTTTTCAGATTACTTTTTAAAGTTTCTCAGCTATATCATGTTAATTTTTTATTTTGTTTTGGTTTTTTTTTTGTACTGGGGATCAAACCTATATCTTTGTGCTTACCAGGCAAGCGTGTAAACCACTGAGCTAAATCTCGGGCCATATCAATGTTTTTTTATGTGTCTTATTGCTTTTATCTAGTTGAATTGTCTAGTACCTGCAATAAGCTTAACTAACTGTAGTGTTACTAGACATCTTTACCTTTTTTACAACAGTAGTGTAAATTATATGCTTCTCTTGTATGCTTATTGTGGGATTTTAGGATGAGATAAATATGTTTACTCATATTATAAAAGTATCTATCTATCGCTAATTGATTGAATCTTCACCAGAAATATAGGTATTAGATTTTATCAAAGGCCTTCTTAGTACCTTGTGGGAAGATAATATTAATTTTCTCCTTTCATAATAATAAATTTCTCAATCTTGAATACTCTTTGTATTTCTGGAATAAACCCTAATTGTTAATGCTATTCTTTAATGTGCTGCTAAACTCTGGTTATTAATGTATTATGCTGGCTTATTGTACTGACATTTGTAGGTAAAATTAGTCTGTGGTTGCTTGTGAAATTATTGTTCTATATAGTTTTCAATGTTATGTTGGAGTCATATAAAATAATTTGGATAGTTACTTATTTTACTATGTTCTGGGGCAGTTTAAATAGCATTATAATTATCTGTGTCTCACATTAAATTCATCTTTTTAAATAAAAGTTTTACCAACTTTTTCAATTAGCCAATCATCTGATAGCCCCAATTTTATGTATCACATTGCTTTTATCTAATTGAATTATCTAGTACCTGCAATAAGCTTAACAAACTGCAGTGTTACTAGACATCTTTACCTTGTTTACAACACTAGTAGAAATTATTTTAGTATGGGAAAATTTTGGTATGGGACAATATACATTCTGGCATGGTCTGAAGTTTTTAATACTAACAAATTTTTACTTTTATGACAAATAATATATAATTTTAAAATACTACTTGTTTCCCAGAGATTTTCCAAAACAAATTGAAACTATTGCATACACAATAGGCTGAACAAGGTTCCTAAATTTTAGGGAATTGATACCCATGTTAATCAAGTCCTTTCACATTTATCCGAGGATTTCTATACTTAGAAACCTAGCCTAATGAATGCCAAGGCTGCTAGACTGCGTGGTTCATTCTAGAACAACTCCTTATTTTCTTTCCGCCAGGGGACCCTATCACAGATGAAAATAGTGTACCAAGAGAGGTGATATGGCCAACAGGCAACACAAAGAAGGGCCACAGAAGGTAGAATCTGGTTTGTTTGGATATCTTCCCAACTGACTAGAAGAGACCAAACTCTAGTTACTTAATAATGCAACAGTGTCGCCTAGAATTGCCAGATGAAAACATTCCAGAAGCAGCCAAAGATTCTATATGAGTGAGATCTTCACCTCTCTAGACCAATAACCACAGTCTCTAAACAAAGCCAACCACCTTCTCACTGAGAATTTCAGTGTATGACAAAACTCAACAGGAAACTCAAACCTTGGCCAGCGGTGTTGCCTCTTCCCTGCCCAGGTGAGGCCTCCCACTGACTCTGAGGAAGTTCTTAGCAACTGTGTTGGCTGGGAGGATGCTAGGCCCATGTCACCTCATCGTTGTCCTCCTGGCCATGACCATCTCCTGCACTGGGGCACGCCATGCGTCACTGTGGGCGGAAAACTGCAGAAAATCAACATATCCTCCTTCCGGACCAACCTACAAAGGACCGGTTACATGGTATGTCATAAATCTTGATTTACCACCCTATAATAGATGGCATGAATTAATGGCTGATAAGCGACCAGTGCTAAAGATCATAGTGAAGTCCATGAAGAATATAGTAAATACACTTGTACCGAGTGGAAAAGTTATGCAGATGGTGGATCACAAGTTGCCTAAACTACTTGGCAGATTTCCTAGTCCTTATGAAGAGGAAATGAAGGGAATTGCAACTGTTACTAACATACCTTTAGGAGAGATCATTTTATTCAATATTTTTTATGAATTGTTTACTATGTGTACCTCAATAATAACCGAAGACAAGAACGGTCATCTACTACATGTTAGAAACTTGGATTTTGGAATATTTCTCAAGCAGAACAAAAATAATAGTAAGTCAATAATAACTGAGCAACTAAAACTTTTAACAGTGAATTTGGACTTCCAAAGGAACAATAAAACTGTCTTTAAGGCTACAAGCTTTGCTGGCTATGTAGGCACCCTAACGGGTTTCAAACCAAGACTATTTAGTCTCACACTAAACCAACGTTTCAGCCTACATGGTGGCTATCTGGGTATTCTTGAGTGGATTTTAGGAAAGAAAGATGCTGCGTGGATAGGATTTATCATTAGATCAGTGCTGGAAAATGGTATAAGCTATGAAGAAGCCCAGAAAATACTGATGAAAACCAAGTTATTGGTCCCAGTGTACTTTATTCTGGGCGGTAGCAAGTCTGGAGAAGGATGTGTGATTACACGAGACAGAAAAGACTCTTTGGATGTATATGAACTCAGTCCTAAACAGGGTAGATGGTTTTTGGTGCAAACAAATTATGATCGATGGAGAACCCCGCTATTGCATGATCATCGCAGAACACCTGCAGAGGTGTGTCTAAAACACACAACCCAAGAGAGGCTGTCATTTGCAAGCTTATATGACGTTCTATCAACAAAACCCATTCTCAACAAGCTGACTGTGTTCACAACCTTGATTGATGTTACAAACAATCGATATGAAACTTACCTCCGGAATTGCCCACACCCTTGTATGGGCTGGTAAGCATGTATCGGGCTAGAGATTATGCTGAGACATGAAAAGTGATATCCATCATGGCTGACCAGCTAAGCTACCTAAATTCCTTCCAAAGGCCAAAGACTATAACTGTTGTGTTTTTGCTTTCTGTAACACACATACTAACTTTTAAAAAATAAATATTATTCCTAAAGCTAAACTAAAAAGAAAAACCTCAAACCTTCATGAAAAGGCAACCACGAACACTTTCATTCAAATATTTCCCGCCCAAGTAACTTCATATTATCCTTTTCTAAGTGGCCTTTTCTAGACTAACTTTTAAAACAAACATACTCAAGGACACTAGAAAACAGTGAATTACATTTAATGGTTCTTAAATTAGCAAGAGTCTTACATCAGGCCAGATTTCTTCCTGTACTTAAAATTCTATTTCAACAAAACTAGGGACATAGCCAGTGGGTAATTATTTGAAAGAAGGCTCCGTAACCAAGACTTAGGTCTTTGCTCTGTTCTAAAAAAACATGCTTTGCTCCTGTTGTAATAGTATTTCCACAGAGGCCTGTTAGAGTTTATGCCTAACTCTTCCACAGAATTTCGACTGTCCATGATATTTTCATGTGCATTAAAATAAGAAAATGTGATCATCTTGGAATCTCAGTAGGATAAAGAAGTATTCTTAGTAAGATGGTACGCTTTCCTGTGTAAGTTACTTTAAGGATCATGATAGGACACAGCTGGGCAAGTTCAATACCTACTCTTTCTTTTAAAGAGCTTCATTTACACTAAGTAAATTTACCACACTCGTGGGTATAGTAAAAAGAAGGGTCATAAGAGCAAGGTTGCAGTGCCACAGGTGTGTTTTGCTTGGGTCCATCAGAGGCCCTTCCATCCTCATGCTTATAACGTGCTTTCTTTTGGGAGCATCACCACCCTCTCTCTAGCAGGGTCGCGTGCAGATTTGGGGAGATCACAAGTTGATGTAATTTGGGGAGACTTGTTTTTTAATAACACATTGCGCACAATGAAAACATTCGTCTTGTGCAGCCGTGCAGATGCATATCCCAACTTCATCCTTTCTGTCTCTTCTTCCCCTTTCCTCCCTCCTCTATCTATGGATCCCTGAATCCCCTTCCCATGTGCCTACTTTCCTCTTTCTTATCATCTACCTTTTATTTTGCTCTTCAAGTAATTGTAGTTTAGGATTTTAATGTATAAGAAATCACATGATATTAAACTTTGGTGTCTGATTTGTTTCACTTAGCATTAGCATTATGGTATAAGGGTACTTCTATTTTCCTACAAATTACTTGAATGTTTTTTTAATGTGTAAATAGTACTCCACTCTGTGTGTGTGTGTGTGTGTGTGTGTGTGTGTATCACATTTCCTTGTTGTGGCTTGAATCTAGCAGTGCCCCAAAGCCTCATGTGGTCATAGTTGGGGCCTTGGAAGTGCTAGCTTCTTGGCTGTGAAATGCTGGATCAAGGTTATGATGCTGGGAATGATTCACAGTGCTAAGCTAGGATAAAGGCTGCCCCACCTCAGGTGTGAGTGCTACCCACCCTGAGGACACATAGGCCTGGATAAAATACAGGGGACAGAAACGGGCTGCTATGTCATCACTTGCTTGCAGCTTTGGCTGCCTTCTGCCTGCCGTGAACTATGTGTCCTCTGTGATGTCCTCGGCCATGTTCCAGCCTGCTTTGAAACCAGCTGATTATGCACTAAAACTGCTAAAAAACAGTGAGATGAATAAGGACCATTCGTCCTTTAAATTTGGGTGTTGGGTACTTTGTCTAAGCACCAGAGAGAAGAAACTAAGAAACCTTGTTAGTAGCTCCATCACCCAAAAAAAAAAAGGAAACACCACCCACACCACCCACTGTACCCTCCTCCTTAGGTGAATGCTATGACTGATACTTTCCATAACAATTCTCACTTCGTTTTAGGCTCCACACTTGACTTCCAGGTAATCAAATAGTTCTAGTACTCAGGCTAGCTTGGTGCTAAATAGCCCCAGGGTCATCAGAATTTTGGACATCATTCAGCTTCCCTAGAAGGAGACAGGTGTTAACTTCCCTTCCTTCACATGCTACCATCCCCATTTGAATTCCTGGCACTCTGAATTCACATGCCACTGGTCCCGCCATACTTAGTGCAGGCAGCAAAACATGCCCTAGTAACAGTCTGTCTCCAGGACCAGCAGAGGATGCGCTGCCAACCAAGCTCATCCTCTTCCCACCTCTATGCAGTCTGTCACTCCTTAGGGCAGTGTAGCGCAGCCAGCTTCCCTGTCCACATGGGTGTCTGCGCTTCCCCGCTGGGCTCTTGCTCAGCAAACACCACTTTACCATCCTGGACTCAGGGGCAAGGTTATCTCAGCTCTGAAGAGCACACTTTCCTCAGGCCATGACTTCAGAGTCTCTCTGGTATCAACTTTCATTGTTTCTCCCTTGCTCACAAATGAGCCTCAGTAAGTCCTGCCATGACCCACCCATGTTATTGTCACTTCCTTTCCAAACAAAAAACATAAATGTCATCATGCCGAGTGGCACCAACCTAGTAGTAGTGGGTATCTGTCTCAGGAGGAAAACCGAAGCTGTCTCCTTATCATGGGTGACTAACTCAGCTGTCGGTGTGACTGTGTCTTTTTAACCCTAACTAGAATACTGGTCTTAAATGGCTTGAATTCTGAACATAAAAATTGTGATGGACAGTCAAGTCATGGCTGTTACTTGCATCAAAGCAAATAACTCTTTATAAAATTTAGTTTTTGTAGAATTTTCCAAGGAGAAGTCACCTGGGTGGTTTTTCTCACTCCCTAAACTCTGCAGAAGTGATTGCTTAAGAAAGTCATTGTTTGTCCCGGTGCTATGGCCTCCAGAGAGTTTCCACCCTGCAGAGAAAGGCCAGACCTGACTTCTGTCACACATGTTGCTGTCATTTTCTAAAAATGTGTGCAGGGACAGTATACTGGGTGACTTCTCTGATTTCTTTCCCCAGGCATAGTTATTTTGAGATGAATCCATAATCTGTTCATGGATGCTGTGTAGAATCCCATCACCTGGTTTGCCGTTTGTTTATTCCTTCAGCTTTTCACTGATGTTTTCTTTTTAGTTATTGAAAACAAGCTGACCTGTATGAGCTTGTAAAAGTGTCTGTATGAGCACATCATGGATTGGATGGGGAGAGGCGCAGGAGAGTTCAGTGTTGAACTCTAAAATAAACTGTGAAATGCTCCTGGAAGTGATTCTACTACTTGTAAGGTTGAAGGGTGCTGATTCCTACACTTCCTCGCCAACACCTGTGTGATCACAGTTTAATTTTCCCTCTTCAAAAGGTAGAGTGGTATGTTCAGCTAAAGAGTAGATGCAGTGTCACGTAGTCGAGAACTGATGATGTTAAGGAAACTTTTTGTGGTAAGTGTGCATGTGTTCCATGCTGAAATATCTTTTCCAAACCTGGTGGCAGTGCTTTCAATTTTTAAAACTGTTCTCATTTTTGTGATTCCTATTTCTTTTATGGAACAGAAAGAAGTTGTTCTCAGAAATTCAATTTGCACGTATTTTATCCCATTCTATGTCATGTTTTCATTCTTGTAACAATGTCTTTGAAGGGAAAGTTCTGAATTTTGATGGAAACTAATCCATCCTATTTTGCTCCTACATGGTACTCTTTATGTTTTCTGTAGGAAATCTCTCACTTAACTCTTCAGCCCAACAATTTGTCCCATGATGACATGTATTACTTATATTCCCATGGCTGGGTCACAGTATTAGACACCACAGCTTAAGGGTGGACAGGTTATAGGGGTTCACAGATTCAGTCCATGGTCACCCTAAGGCAGACCCCGCATGGCAGAAGTGGTGGCTTGGAAGGCTGCTGACCTCATAGCAGCCAGAAGTACAGAAAGAAGGGAGGATTCAGGGACAAGCATACTAGCTCCTAGGTCTCAACCACAGTGACCAAATGACCCACCTCCACCAAAGTCCCACCTCCTGATAATACATTTACCCAGGGGACTCATCAATGCTGAACTCCGTGACAAAATCAGGTCTAACATGGTCAAATTAGCCTTCAAACACATGAGCTTTTGGGTAACATTTCATATCTGGACATAACAAACTGGCTTTGCTTTATGATTGCTTTATGATGTGATCAAAGACCACACTTTTTGTGTGCCTCTTGAGAGACAATATCCATGCATTGCATGTTCCCGACACACATGTGATAACGATTATGCCTTGTACCTTTCTTGAAATTCATGCCTCTATACCCGTGACTCCATAGGTTCTCCATTCTGCTCTGTGACTTCCCTTACCTGTTCCTTGAATGTGAAATTCCATCCCTGGCCACTCTGCCACTGCTCATATAGGTTGGCTGCCTGTATCATGGCCTCACCATTTCACCACATATATCTGGATATGTCTGACAAGCACGATATGAATCAGTGCATCTAGGATAAAACTGGGATTACCTCCTAAAACACCATTAAAAATACTGAGTTCTGAAACTTTGGTACTATGCAGCCTACTGATCCCAGATTCATGGTGCTGTATGCCAGAAGAGGTTTGGCACAAAGTACATGGAGAGTGTGGCGTGTCTGTGAGGGCAGTTATCTTAAAACAACCTCTAAGAATAACTGGTATAGAAACTTGAAAAATGAAGCACCACACTCTCCATCTACTCTCCATGAAGAAATCAGCATGGCAAACTGAATTTGCCCTGCCCTTCAGAGGAACAGTGTCAAGAGGGGCTCGGACACAGTCAGCGTGTTAAACAACTGCTTACAGATGGATCAGGGCAGAAAGTGCTGCTGTGACCCTGAGGCGGCACCTTGGTGGGACCCTGTGTGGAGTGTCTGGGGTGTCATGGGAAAGGCTGGACAGTCCATTCTGTGTGCAGGGGAACTTGGGTCTGTCTAGATGGCTGTTGCTTGGCCAAAGCAGGCAACTAGAGTATCCTAACCAGAAGTGCTGGAGTTTCAGGCGGGCATGGAGGGGACCATTGGGACTCCCCTAAGGCCTCAGAGAGATGAGTGCAGTGCGGGGACACACTGGCCTCTGGAAGCACAAGCGGAGCCCAGAGCTGCAAGGTGGGCTCAGCACAGAGGGCTGGGAGGGGTCAAGCTGCTGCTCACAGCCTC